GATTGGATGTAAGGAAAAATTTCTTTCCTGAAAGAGTGGTTAAACATTGGAACAGGCTGCCCAGGGAAGTGGTTGAGTCACCATCCCTGGAAGTATTTAAAAGACATGTAGATGAGGCGCTTAGGGACATGGTTTAGTGGGCATGGTGGTGTTGGGTTGACAGTTGGACTCGATGATCTTGGAGGTCTCTTCCAACCTTAATGATTCTATGATTCTATGATTCTGAATGCTACATTCTAGGGAAACTAACCTTCATTCAAGCTCTGACACCTGTACTTCTAAAAATTATTTGCCATAGGACAGCAGCTTGGAACTGAAGATGTTTTTTTCCTCTGAAAGCGAAAGTGAACTGATAATTCACGCCTTCAGTATTACCAGATCACCTGAGTCAAAAAAGAAAGACTATGGTGGATAGTGGCTGTGCCATGAAAGAGCTTACACTGGGTCTCAAATAAATAGCAAATCTATTTAAAAATGTCACATATCAACTGTCAGAATACTGTTAAGCGTTTTATGCTTAAGACAGTTTTGGTTTTGCTTGCCTGCCCTAGCCCCTCTGACAATTGCTGTTAGGACTCCGTGTTTAATACTGAATTCTTTGTCTTCAAAAGTGACCAATCAACATGACTTTTCTACGCAATATCCGCAAACTGCTTAGTGGACTTACAAAATATTAAGCAAGACACAACTTTTTATTAAAACAAAAATATTTATTCAAGCTGTAAATGCTATGCAGTATTTAGTTATTGGATGGGTTTAATATAAACATCTACTGCATAATATTGGTTCCTTAGGAATCCTTGTATACTATCTGAAACATCGCCCTGTTGCTGTACAGATCTCTTACAAGAAAACTTGCATTTTTTTTAAGACCTCAACAGTTTGAGAACAAAGGAGGAAATACCAGTAGAGAAAATTCTGCAGTATTGGAGCAAGGCTTATGTGGCAATTTTCACCCATGCTAATTATTACTAAAACATAGGCTGAGCTTCTCCTGTGCCTGTTTTGAAGAGAGTTTGTATAATAGCTACGGCAAATTCTATGTTAAACAGAAAGATCAGATGCAAATTTTTCCATGTCTGGCTAAAAGCATACGTGATATTAACAAACGCTTTCTCGACAGTACAAGTGACAGTTCAAAGAATTGTCTTTCGCAATAGGACACGCTGAAATTCTTGTCTGGCTATGGCTGCAGTTTAAGTATTCATACTTAAATGTATGAATACGGGGGTTAACCCACAAGGAAGTTAACCACATTGTTTGAGAACAGCTTTTGCATTCAAATGACATCGTACGCAGCAAATACTGTGAACAGATGAAGCCTATCCCAACTGAAGTTCTTACCTGAATGACTGGTTGGGAAAAGCTTCATTAGACGAGGAATACTTCTGGAGGTTTTGTTGGCCTTACGTTTAGTTACTGGTGTTTTCGTTAACTCATTCAAAGCCTTACAACATGGGCTTGACCATTATGAGAGAAGAGAGTGTTAGTACAAGCCAGTTACACCTGAAGAGTAAGTCCCTTTCGGATTCAAGACGACAACGGGAAGTGGCCAGGTCAGCTGCCCGTGTCTTAGAACGGTGAACTACAAACACCGCCTTCACATTCACCACCTTTTCACAAACTGGCTAAGCGCTTCAGATGGGTGAGTAGAGAATGCAGCAAGACACAGACAACGTGGTGTAACAGGAAACATACAACCTTTCTTACATTACATTTATACAAATTTACAATTTCGCAAATTAAATGGCTCTATAATTACGCAAGTGCTCTTCAAAAATAAACATACACCAACTCAATGATATTTACACTTAGCAACCTGCTTCAGAAACAGCATGATTTTGCTATAAAGTGAAACTTCAGTGCACTGAAAGTGCAACTCACCCTTTAGAATTAACTTCTCTTCCCATGCAAAACCTCAGCATAACACCACCTAGCCTTAGACAGCACAGTTCAACTTCTTTTTTTTTTTCATTCATCATAATGCAAAGACAG